AAATATTGGCCAAAGGAGATTTATTGGTGCCTTGAGAAGTCGAGGTATTAGGGTTCAATGGTCAAGAGTAAGTGAATGTCCTAGAAGAATGAATCCTATTGGCACTTCGTTAAGATGGAGATTGGTTATATACCATCGCAAGAACAGTGTACCTGGACCCAATTCACTCTGGCACTTTGATGGTGCTCACAAACTAATTAGGTGGAAGCTTGTGGTTCATCTTTGTATTGATGGATTCTTGCATTTAATAATTTACTGCAAATGCTGTGACAACAATAGAGCTGAAACTGTTTTAGAACTCTTTGTTGAGGGAACTCATAAATATGGATTACCTTCCAAAGCAAGATGTGACTATGGAATGAAGAATGTGCATGTTGCTCAATTCATGTTGGAAAAACAGGGCTTACACAAGGGTAGTATCATCACTGGGTCCTCTGTTCATAACTGCCAAGTGGAGAGAAGTCATAGAGATGTTTATTCTGGGGTCCTATGTTTCGATGCACAGTTGTTTAATGAAATGGAGAAAACTGGCATTCTTGATCCTTTGAGTGATTTGCATTTGTATTGTTTACACTATATCTACCTTCAAAGGATAAATATTTCCCTTAAAGAATTTGTTGCACAGATGAATAACAGGCAAGTTTCTACAGAGAAAAACTATTCCCCACTTCAGTTATGGACAGCTGGTATGCAACAGAATGTCAACCCCCCTGAACCCTCACTATCAGACAGTGAATTAAATCAATATGGCTTTGATCCTGAAGGGTTAGTCCCTGTGGAGGATGTTGACTATCAGGTACAACTGAATCCAACAACATGTGCAATTTCAGGAGAACAAATGTTACAATTACCTGATCCCTTGGATAATGATGATTATCAGGGAAAGCTTAGCTATTTGCAATGTCTAGATCTCATTTCTCCATTTCTAAATGTGAATACTTAGTTACACTAAAAAATAGAAAATAAAATAAAAAAATCAAGGCAGATTCTGAGTGAATAAAGAAATATTTCTGAATTATTTTTACTTTCCATAATTCCATGGTTGATACTTAGGGACTGTTCATTATTTATGGAGGGGATGGGGTAAGGGGGGGGAGGTGGGTGATTAATTAGCAAAGGAACCTTTTTGTTAAAAAGTCCAACTACGATAAACACATTTTTTCAATGACTGCCCTTTAATTCCGATAGAAAAATTTTGCTACCCCAAGATAGCTCAAGAGTGTATTTCAAGACCCCCTTTTGTGGGCTTAAAAAAAATTCAAGTCCCCCCGTTTAATCACCCGTCCCCTCCTCCCAGAAATAATGAATGGTCCCTTACTACAAATTCACTTTAGAAATTAATTTTCCTGTGTTGTTTTCAGCTTATCAAATTGTTTTTTTTTATGGCAATTATTTTTACTATTCATTGATGAAATCTACATAATATTCGGCCGGGTAGTTGGGTTAAACACCCATTGTATTCATAGCCAATCATCGTCCATTGAGAATTTGAAGTTAGTTAAAACTGCTCAAATCGAAGACTTCTTTTTTTCACATATCACCAAATAAAGTTTTGGATACGAAATTTTAACCCACCCACCTCCTCTTTGGCAACAAGAATGGTTAACTATTTAAAACAAAGTTTAGGATTTTATCACTTCATTAAATAGAAAATAATGTATATTTCTGCATGATATTTATAAGAATTACTGGTACTCCAACGAAGGACTGGTGTCTGAAACGAATACACAGCTTTCACTACCTGACCTGATCTCAACTATCACTGGTTCATTAAACAACACTGCAGCTTACATTAGTGTTCACTAGTTTTCATCTCATTATTTATGAAGTAGTTTTCATTGTTTTATGTTTTTTTCATAAGCAAAAGGATTGTGGAAAGGCAAAGAAAAACATTAAAATTGAGTGCCATTGGTTTTGAATTCTGAAACCATATGCTCACAATGCTGTCTCATGTGGTTTAGGGAGCCATGCATTGTGAGATGTCTACAACAGTAGTTAGTCGTTCCAGTGTAGGCAACAATGACAATGACATCAAAACTAAGAAAGGAAATAATTACATCATGATAAAATGGAAAACTTTATTTGGTATATCATCTTTATGAATAGCAGTGATAACAATGAACAACAATTTTTATATACTCCCAAAAATATAATATAAATTATTCCTACACAACTTAAAAGCTTGGGTTTGTATGTAGGCACAGTGGACATTCTGATTCTAAAAGCATCTCAGTAAACAATAATAACAAATTTTAAAACTTTGTAAATATATGAAACCACAACCAAAGGTGTTATGATGACAATGTTTTTCGTTAGAACAAACTGTTACATGCAAAAGGTTAAAACCATGATTCAAAACATGTTCCCTTGATAACAAACAGTCGATCTCCCCCTTTTTTTCCTAGCCCACAGTTTTTGTAAAATTATACAACACCAAAGTAGGAACTACTGAAAGCCAAGTCATAAAGGTTGAACAAAAACTCGTCACCTGGAAGCTGTTTGGAGTAGCTTGGGAGGGGTAGATTGAGAACATTTATGCATGTATTGGCTGTGGGCATAAATGCATCACCACATTCAATGAAATTGATTTCTGGTGATAAAACAAATCATAGTGTAGGTTCTTCATCTGTTCTACGTACAAACTGCAGCACATGACCAAGGTTAAGGGTGTTATTTCCTTGTTAGGGTCTGCAATAGTAGATATTTTGAAGAAACCTGGGTAATAGCTAAAACTACATCGAGTTTCATAAATAAGGTATCATCTCAAAATAAAACATTATTTTGAGGTGTATTTAGTCTGGACACCAGGGTTTTCAACTAGAGCTGGCAGGCATCTGAACTTGCTGTTTACTTCACTTAATTTCTCTCACTTCATTGTTTAAGAACTTATTTAAAATTTTTTTCTTGCATCGAGTTAGAGAAATTTTGCTACAGAACATGACCCTCAAACATATACCTTATTCTTGTTCCAGAGGGACTCAAATTTTAAAAATTGCTCAAGGTAGCATGCCCCTGAACCCCACTTAGAAGTTGCAGTACTGGCATCAGTAATCAATTCCCATTTACTACATAACTCCTTGCATTTTCCTTCTTCTCTCATTCTTATTGAAATACTGGGACAGGAGTTGTTGTCCACATTCCAGGGGCACAATTGTCCCTGTTTCCTGTTGTTTGAAGTGTTTCGAAATATTACTATTATTTTGCCTAACTTGTAATGCTTGAGAGTTTGTTGGTTTGTTGAAATTATCCACAGTTACATACATCAATAACAGAAGTATCATAGGTTTGACTTCTCGCACCATTGTTCCTTTTTGAGTGGTAGAAATTTTGCTCTGGGCTGAGCTCACTTGCAGATTAATAAGTCGAGAGTGCCATAGCATCATGTCTCTGAATAAATGCTTTTAGCCCTTACTTGGACAGACCTAGGCCACCAAATGGAGATCCCTAAGCACATTATGACATGCTATCCTTTATTAATCATATCACTGACCACTTTGCAGCTAAGTATTATGCTGTATCCATCAGTTGAAGAGTTTGAAGATGAACTATGGCAAACACTCAATCAGGATAGGTTACACAGAGTACTGCTCTAATTTCTTTCAACTCCGTACATCACCATGAAGACTTTCCTCCAACTCCATAAACAATTGCACCCCTAAATTCAAATAGTTATTAATAAATTGTGACCATAATAGCTAATTTTAGTAAATATGTAATTCATTTGAGATGTTTTGTGCAGCAGAAGTGAAAGTAATAATTACCTGGGAATGATAGGGAGGAGTCAACTGTTCTTTTCATTTATTTCCTACAGATTTACTGTCACCATAAGGACAATTTACTCATTATATGAAATTCCTTTTAGAACAATATTATTCTTGATGATGGACTGCAGATTTCAATCGTGGAGAGAAGACTCAAAGTTTGTCAACTTTGTACATATAATCATGTTGTATGCACCAAGAAAATTGTCATTACTTTTTTAACAAATTTTAATGTGCTTTGTTACATATTACCATACAAATGATGCACTTTCACATTTGTTTGTAATGGTTTTGTCTACTCCAATTAAATTGCAGGAATGAGTTGCTATTTTCGTTGCCTCAACCACACAGAAAAAGATTGACAAAGCAGACAAGTATGGGAATTTATGTGTAAACTACATGATTTATATAACCTACCCTATGCTTTTTACTTTGATTTGACACTTATTTTTCTGCTGCTTCAAAGGTGTCAGTGCACAATGGGTGGAGATTTGTAAGCGAATCTCACATAGTATACCTTGAACGGGAGTATGAAGGTGGCAAATCTGGAAGAAAGTTACCGGCTTCACAGTTGCCTTAAAGAGGTACATTGTTTTCATCCAAACATCACTACTGCTTATAACATTTTGATTCTTGAACCTCCAGCCAGTTGCTATGAAAGATCAGTCTATACCTCAATTTCTTGAGGTGATCACTAAGCGACCTTCCCTTGCAGTCTCAGAACATTATCCGAAGAATTCTCTGTAAATAGACACTTGGCTTTTCCATTCAGTAGAAGCATTAATGTGCATAATTAGGTCAATTTTTCAAGTTACTTTACTTGGGTTTCTGTTAATTCCGATTTGTTTTTTAACACTTTTGGCCATGAATTATTGGATTTTTTTGGTTTGTTTGTTTGATTTGTTTGTTTTTTATCATTCGTATTTTCTTGTTTGTGTGTATTTTTCCTTTTTGTGGACCTTTTTTAATTGAGATCATTTAGCCAACCATTACAACCAACACCAAGGGCTGTTTACTGAAACAAAGTGCATTCTTAGCTATCATCAATTTAGTCATTCACCTAAATGTTGATAATTGTTAGCATATAGCTGACACTGGAGAATAATTTAATACATCCAGAAAGCCATTTAAAAAGAAATCTTGAGTTCAATTAATTGCTTAGAACCAGGACCTACATTTAGGTCGGACTTTGCTTAGATAATGCTACTTCATTTACTCTTATGTCAATCTTTCAGACCTCTGACTGGCAGCCTGATGCGGTCCCAAAACCAGACTGTAACACTGAAGTGTGCTTTGTGGCTTCCATTTGAGGGCGGAAGCCCTGAAGAGAGGGAGACCTCACTGGAACTTACTGGAGGCTGTGAAGGTTTCCCAAGTGACAGGCCGATGTTTGCTAAAAGACTACCACAACCCTCAGGGAAAAAGGTATGCATCATCCTTGAATCTTCCTTTATTGTGCTTGTTGGAATAATGACACATGTAACTATTATAAGTAGGCATTTTGGTGTGTAGTATCACTGAGTATTTTTACAAGTTGTGCTGTGTTTTGACAACAGGCAGGGCGAGTCAAATACAAACAAGAAGTAAAAATACTAAGCTACAAGTATGCCATACACTAAAATGTCTATGGATAACAAGCTATTTATCATCCAATGTATACAATGCAAAAATAATGTCCACTTTTTTCCCTTTGAAAAACCTCATGCAAGATAGTCAACCTGTCAAATTTGGGACTTCGACAATCAAACAGTTATTGTGCAATCTGCCAAACATTCACAAAGTCTGTCTACATTTTGAAAATTAAAACTAATTACAGCACATTTTGTGGTTGGATGCATAATTGCCAAACCTCCTGCCTTACAAAAATCTGAAAAATGAACAATTTCAGACTGTCAATTTGACATGTAGGATGTTGACACTTGCAGACAATATGTTGTTTGATAATGTTGTGATCAATTACAAACCTTTTACAGATAAGACATTTTATTTAGATGCACTCACTTAAAAGCTTAACTTGACTGGATATTCAAATTCAAGGAACTGAACGATCGTTCGAATATTTACATAATCATGGCTCAGTGATTAAATTTAAAAGCGACTCACATGAAAAAATAATTAGAACTCAAGAGATCTACAGCAATGCAGGGTTCGTCGGAGCAAATCTGAATTTCTTTTGAAATTTTTAGTTCCAGTCCAGAATTTCAAACTTGTCACTTATTTTTTACCGATGGACTGCTCGCTCCTGTGTTCTTCCAGTTATGGTCGTACAACATAACACGGTTATCACGGAAAACCTTCAAACCCTTCCTTTCACATTCATATCCAAACAATATGTCTTCCAGTGTTTTAAGCTCTGGCCGATAGAAAATATTCTTTGCTTGTAATACTCTAAGATTGAGGAAAACTACACCATGTGGAGGTTTGCACGAGAAGGGCTTTTTTGGTTTACACTGTGGGTACCATCTTCTTGGACTCATAGCTGCGATAGCATGTTCAGTGCTGTCAGCTTTGACAAAGTTTTCGATTCGCTCAAACACAAGTCCAAACTGTCGCCTTCTGTATTCGCTGTAGTCACTTCCACCCTTGAATTTAAGGGGTGGTACTACTGTTGGATGATATTCATAAAAGCATTCAACACTGTCATCCATCATCCAGATAAAATCTAATTGCAAGCGCAGTGCAATTTTCTGAATCCAGTATCGGGGATAACCTGCTCCAATTTCATCCTGTGGGAGTCTGATAACAATGTTTTCGTGTCCACAATGCCTCACATACTCATCAAACTCTGAAGGCCTCACTACAAGAACAGTGATGGTAGATTCTTTATTCAGGAGGGCATCTTCAGGCCAATCCAATAATGCAATCTGCGCTCTACGGAAACTTGGAACAAATATCCATCTTTTTCCCTTGAAGTTGTTAAATCGTATCTTTTGAATCCAACTCGTTTGCCCACAAGTCTACGTGTCAAACCAGTGCATGCAATCAGGTACGTGGATTTTTAACGTATTTTCACAATTAAAGTAAAAAAGGTTTGACTCGTTCACTGAGTTTGAGGACAGTGACTGGGCTTTGAACTTGTGAGGAAAGGATATTACAATTTCATCTTTTGAAAGCTGATCGCTTTTAATATTGTCATGTATCTCACGTACATGTGGCGATAGAGGTAAATTCAAAGGCTCCCGGTTTTCTAAAATATTGGTGACCACTTGTGTAAGTTCTTCTCTACAACTGTTAATGGTTCCTTTCATCTCGCTTTCTATAAACTTGGGCAGGTTATCATAGATTTTAGTCAGATCCACTTTTTTACTTGGGGTGGTCCATTCGTCTGATGTGGGATATGATGCTGAATTGGAAACCGTTGCTTTCATTTTGAGAACGATATTTGGTGTTTCTGCTTCCCAAGGGTGGTTCGATAGCCATTTGCCATCTCGATTCTCATCCGCTATTGTAAGACTTGCGACTTCTTGCGAAACCTCTTCATCTAACCTTGAATCGCTCGTTTGATACTCTTGTTCATGAGGTTCACTTTCACTACTGCAGCTCTTACCGAGACTCTCTCCCTCTCTTTTGTCAAACAGCTCCCTCTTTGCCTTTGGTTCTCTCCACTGTTTTTCCGCCATATTTGTAAACGTAAGAATTTATGGTCTCTTGGAATGTGGATCGCGACGTTTCGAATGAGTACTGCTTAACTTCTTCAGACGACAAGGTCGACTGAGTACGTGNGCCGAAGCCAATGAATATTGCTCGTGTCCACTCTTGGAGCACTCCAAAGAGCTGTCGAAGAGAAAAGTCCCGAGGCGGTTCTACCGTCTATTTGATCGGGTTGGAGCTAATGTCCCCACTTAACGGCCCGGAACCCGATGGTGCAACAAGTGTTCTACAATTGCTGATAGTGTTTTCTGCAATGAACCAGATTATGTTCCACCAGTACAAGTAAGTGCAGTGCTTATTTTTGCCTAATGTTGTTTAAGCAACATTGAGATAATTATAGATATAATTGCAAAAGCACTCAATATTTGATGCCCCTGAAAATGAAATACCAGTCCCACACAATTCACACACACATAAAATAGGCTGGAGCCATATTTGTTTGTTTGTTTGTTTGTTTATTTGCCAATTTGGCCCACCAAAAAACCAGACTGCATAATTGCTACTTTGTTATAACAAAAAATCGTTCCAGAACTATACCAAAATATTTTATCATGTATCTGCTCCTTACTTTTCAGAGAAACACTCAGGCATCTACATCTTCTCCAACCAGTACTCAATCATCTTATGGTAGACAGGTTCATGAACATAAAATAATATTATAAGAATCAATTTTTAATTATAAAAATTGTCATAATAAATGACATGGTGATGTTTTGGTATGAATTTTCTTAGGAGAGTGCTTCACCAAGCATGGCCAGTGAACTTGACAAAACACTGCAAAATAAGGAAATGACATCTTCAGGTAAACAACTTCCCACAAACTTACTATTTCTGTAGCATAACATATGTAATTTGTTTGTGTAATGCATTTACTAAATTAATTAACTCTGAGGAGGCATTAATTAACTCTGAGGAGGCACTGCAACAAGAGGACACATGCAGGTATGATAGTCACGCAAATCTAAAATAAAATGATTCTCTGATTAAACACTCCCTCCATATCATCCTCCACTTCATTAATATTTAAAAAATAGTTATGAATCATTAGAAATGATTCTTCCATTCAAATAAGTGTTAACTTCACATACAGCAATGGAAAAGCTTTTAATGAACATTATATCATACATTATATTTTGTAGACCTTACCTTTGACCAGTTGGTCACTCAGTGCCAGACTGCTATGTTCAAATACTATGAAAGCAGACCAGAAGTACCACTTTATGACCCAGCTGTGATGAGGGACTGTTGTGAGAAGAATGCTCCTGGGCTTCTCGATCTTCTACTGAGGTCAATAACAAGAGATGAAAACAGAGTATTGCCTGATAGGGTGTTCCTACAAAGGCAAAGAACAGTTTCACTGTTACACATTCTATTATACTTCAGTTGTTTTCAGAAATAGCGAAAAACACCAAGAAAGCCCATGTGGTGAGTACCACTAATTTTCAATGCAAAGGGTCTTTTGGGTATGAAAGATTAAAAAAGTCTCACAAAAATGTGACAAAACGGTAAAAATGCACTTTGTAACTTCATATCAAATTGTTTAAAGCAAGTCTAGAGTTTGATAAAAAGAGATCCAATAACAAGTGAACCCTTGTAATAATCAAAACATGGTTTCACAAATGCTGTCCTAAAAGAGGAATTTATTCTTGTGTATTCCAGATTCCAACTGATTGTTACAGTAATAGTAAAGCTAAAAGTTGGCCAAAGTTCAATTTTCCATCATATGGTATCAAAGCTGAAACCAAGTGTTTTCCGCTGTCTTACAACCTAAGTAAAACCCTGGGAAAAGAGCCAAATCCACAAGTTTGCTGTGACTTACCTGACTCCAACAACGATCATTATGGTGGTAACTTTGTTCGCCTTGCCTGTTACCACACATTCCATGTGTCCTGTTTATCAAGTGATGGCTGCTGCAGTATATGCAAAGAACCTTTGGAACAATTGATAAAGAATAAAGTCTCTCAGTGTAATGAAGGACTGTTGAAAAATGGAGGTACAGAATCAGATGGTGAATCAAGTGACCCCGAAACTGAAGATGACACAGCAACTGTGGTGAACGGTGAAACAGGAAATGCAAATGCAGAGCAGTACTACACCTCTGGACTCTGGGAACAGAAAGTCAACAGCAGCCTCTCAGCCATTGGAGAGATTGATCAACCACAACACCCTAATGCTCAAGCCTCATATGCACACACCCAGTCTCAGTCCTCAGTGATCCAAACTAGCTNAAAAGGAGAAGTAAAGGTTGCTTCACTTCACATTTAAAAGAAATATTCAACCGATATGAAATCTTGCGACGGCGAAAAAAGAAGAACTCAAGTGAAGGATAATCTACCTGAAGTGGAAGAAGACTTTGAAACTTAAAGGAAAATAATATGATATAGCCAGAAGTCGTGTGTAGGATTTTTAAGATGAGCCCGGGAGGCTATCTTTGACAGCTGTTTAATGATTTTCTTAATTAGCAGTAAACGTCTGTAAACATCAGATCGTTGGCGCGCGCGCGAGCACACGCAATTGTCAGCGGTAGCTATAACAGATCATGAGCAACCGTCGATCTCATAGAGTCCAGATTTTTAAATGCGCGAGAACGCGCGTGGAAATTGCTAAACTCACGAAAGCTATTGCATAAAAACAAGTCCGGTGACCCCTTCTTTTTATTGTTCCAAAATGATGATAACGTCGAAAGGAATCATCAGAAAAAAAACTAGAAAATTCTACGGAAGGAAATTTGCGATGTCTGAAAATTGCCTTTGTTCTAGATTTTCTGGAATTCCGCTCCGTAGAATTTTTTAAAAATCTTTGTGCATTTTCCTTTTCTAGTGCCAAAAGCAATCACTGAAAAAAATCATGGGGTCACCGGGTTAGTTTTCGGATTATTTAAGCCACAAGCTAAAAAATGCGTCTGAATAAGCCTATGAAAGCGTTGCCATGGAAACTGCTTGTGACGAAATGACACCTACTTTTGGATAACCAATGATTATATAATTCAACCCCGCAAAAGGGTTCAACTGGGCTTGGTCAGTCTTTATGTTGTATTCTTTCAAAGTTACAAACCATCAAAAAGACGAAAACCGGTACGAGCCACCTTAAAAGAAAACTCTTTTGCTACAATTTATCAATGTTATGTTATAAAACAAATGGTAAACGCCACAGTGTACACTATTTAAACAATAGAGTGTTTCTGTCGAGGAACTGTCGGCTCATAGTTGTCCCGCGGAAATTTGACGTTCTTAAAACAAATATTTGCCCGAGAAGCGAAGCTTCGAGGGCAATTATGCTATTTCCGAGACATAAACACTCTATTGTCTTTATTGTTTACCACTAAATTTTCTTCCGCGCGCCAGTTGAAAATCAGTCAAAACCCACTAAATGCAGATCAATCAAATATTAATTCATGCGTACAGCCTGTCACAAATGTCATAATTCGCAACCGTACATTGGCTAAATAATACATTATACCTGTCAGAATTGGAAAGTCACTGTTTTTCCGATCTGCCTAATTTCGTGGCTCTCAAACCATTCATTTTTTTAAAAACAATTTCACGGACGAGTACTATCCATCCGGGTATTTTCCGCAGACAGGCACCATGGTTTGATAGTGTCTCTCCACGGATGAACAGTATCGCGTCGCGTGATCAATTTAACCAATAAGAATCGGAGAAAATTTAGTGGTGAACTATAATGAGTTATGGATACACTTGGGAGGTTCGCTAAGCACTCAAGAAGTTAGAGTCGCTCTTGGCTATCGCCTCGCACTACTCTTACGCCTCTTTCGTGCTTAGCAACCTCTCGCGTGGGTACAGTAAAAGAACAGACAACTGAGGCTTAGAGGAAAAATATTTTGTATGACCCAGAAATACAGTTTTGCTCGTCGGAAGCATTTAAATGGCTTCCCACGCCGGAAAAGTTTTACAATGAATCGCTGAAACGCACTCTCTAAAATTGCTGCTATTTATTGCTCGCCTCGAAAGGTTGATACCGACCGGTTAGTCGTTTTCTTGGTCTTCTCTGATTGTCTTTGTTCAACCAGCTGATTAAGCTCCTGCTCACTTAAGTTTGCAAATCTCGAACTCTTAGCTGGAGGCCCCTCAAAAAAATTTAGTGAGTTCGAAATTTGGCAGCTCACAAGAATTATCTTCCTCATCTCTAGAAAAATTACAAGATTTTTCCATATTTCACGAGCAAAATACCCACAAAAAGCAGGAATTATGATGTAAGAACTGGCAACATCGACGAAAGAGTTGCCGTGAAAAACAAAAAACAAAAAGACAAAAAAAAAAAAAAGGAAAACAAAGTGACGTTAGCGTGCCACCCACGGGCAACTGGATGGAGCATATTAGCCAATCGAAGCGCGAGCTTTTGTAAAGCTATGATAGAAGACAAATTATAACATAGCAAGCAGAGCCGCGCAATCCAATTCAGTATACGTAAGCGTGCTCAAAATCCCGATAGTGCACGGTGATAGCGTGAGCAAATCGCTTCGCCAGAAATTTCTTTTTTTGGCGCGAGCGTCACGATTCGCTTCACTGTCCGAAGGTGAAATGCAACAAATTTTGACAGAAAGACACTGGCAAAACCAAACAAATGACAAACTGGTCTGTTTCAACTTTCAAAGGTAAGCTTAAATTTTTCCGTTTTAAAATTGTCTCGAGCTTTCAACGATTTGAAATAAAGCCAATTCCGATTTTGGTTAATATTTCGCTTACCGCGAACAATCACTTCTGATATTTCAGATACAATGAAATATATGAAGTTCATATATTTTGAACTGCGGTATTAGATACGTACGATGCACGATCCTCGCAGTAGATAGCGCTACTTGAGCAATAGCGAAAATCAGACCTGAAAAAATCAGGCCTGTACGGGATTCGAACCACTGACCTCTGCGATACTAGTGCAGCGCTCTACCAATTGAGCTAACAGGCGAACTGGGAGCAGGCCGTTAAGTTGATTCGTAATAAATCCGTAAAAGTGTTAAATCAGATACAATGAAATATATGAAGTTCATATATTTTGAACTGCGGTATTAGATACGTACGATGCACGATCCTCGCAGTAGATAGCGCTACTTGAGCAATAGCGAAAATCAGACCTGAAAAAATCAGGCCTGTACGGGTATGTNGGTTATAACGCACCAGCGTCAGGATATACAAAATGGCGGCTTTATGATGCAGGCTGTCAGTTGGTAACATATAGTGGAGTGCTGGTGTAAAAATGTAATGAACGGCGTTATATTGGAGAGCATACATATCCAGGTAAGAAAACGCAAACATTACGTGCCAGGCCAATTTTTTAAGTGCCCTCAAGTGCTGTAGAGTATTGAATTTGCAACGAGCACCCCGGGACACGCACGCATCGCCGTCGTAAACATTTCGCAAACTTTACTTGCTTTTCCAAAGAAAGGGCCAGTATTGCACTAATTTGAAAGGAGAGCTGATATGATGATGTTTGCCCAAAAGTTGCGTTTAACCGGCTTCTGTTCCTCGATTTCCTTATTCTATCAGAAGGTTAAGAAATTTTGATCCGAATGTGGCCGCCAAAACAGCAGAAGAAAGTCGTTGGTAAGACAGTACTCAGGAAAACGTTGAAAGGTTTCCAGCAATGCTATCCTTTTAAAAATCTGACCTCCGGTAGGCCATAGGGTAGGCTACAGGGTACGCCACAGGGTACGCCATGGCCTAGGCCAGGTTTTGTCCACACCCATCTGTGACCTTTATCGAGATTGTTAAGCTTACATTTGTTGTTTTTGCTCAAACAGAGTACATTATCACCTGTTATTTTTTCTATTTGTTCCATTAGTTTTGTCGCTTTTGTGCGTATATTATATTTGCAAATTGTTGCCCAGGATGTCTGTTTGGTGCCAAATAACGTGGCGTCGGATACGATGATGTTTGGACAAAGTAGCGCCATGTCTACAACAAAGTGTGACGAATCAGCGTTGTGTGTACAAAAGAATGATGTTGCAAAAGAACAGAATTTTACAAAAGAATTCAGGTCTCGTTATGCGATGCATGTTAATCGTTGTAATATTAACAGTGGTGATCGAATACCATGTGCGAAGACGATTCGATCGTGATCCTACTTTAACAATCAAGGCACCATATAGTCAAGGTGATATTATGTACTTTGGTGAAATATGCTGGAAAACAATGTGTTATTATGAGTTTGATTGCTTTGATTTATAATAAGGTAAAAGGAATAAATACCTGTAGTGACCTGGTACAAACTTTGGAGAGAGTAATCAATTGTATTCAACATTGTCACAATGTACATGGCAGATGTATTTAATGCAAACAGAATCACCGTCAATGAATGATTTCTCTGAGAAAAATTACCAGCTTAATTATAGTGAAAGATACACTGGTAATCTACATCATTGTGATTCAATAATTGAGGGATATCAGTACAGTATGTCTATAGACAGGGATTTTGAATCACTCTTGTCACGAAATTACTTTTCAATTATTCTGAGAGTAGAATGTGTTGGTGTCAGTATCTATAATACTGATAATAGGAGTTTTAAGATATTTGATTATCATGCAAGAGACAAATATGTTAGAGGCCATCCCTCAGGTACATGTGTGCTATTAGAAGTACCATCTACTTAGGGCTTAGTACAGTATTTCCAGACTATACACTCCCTCAGTGACAATAATGAACTCAGAGGAGTGCAGATTAGTACATATGAAATGACTGCAGTGAACAGTTTGAGAGAAGAACACAACTGCTCTTGTAAACAATGCTTTGCAGTAGGGCTATATGCATGTGTTAGTAAGTAGCAAAGTCTTGTAGTTATTGGAATTCCAGAACCCTATGTTGCATAGCTAATCAAGGAAATAAATTCTATTGTAACAGGGCATCAACAGACGTCTAACAAGGGCAGATTTATACACGAGATATCAGTCCAACTGAAAGTTTAAAGCCTATAGGCCGACTTACGATCTTGGATCGTCTTGTTGCAAATAGTTTCTTTCTTTAAACAATATTTTTCTCACTTCAAATTTAGAATAGAAGTCGTCTTATACCCCATTGAAACCAAAGCTTAAATACGTTTTAAGGCTGTTTTGTTAAACACGGTTTAGAATTGTTTCCTTCATAGAAGCCGCTTAGACTGATTAAAGGCTGATGGTTTCGAAAGAAACTGTTTGGGGCTGCGTCGGTGGGAGTAACGAAATAACTTGGATATATCAACAAAGTTGAAGTAGTAAATTGGCCACCGTAACGCTAATCGTTACGGTGGCCAATTTACCACTTCGACTTTGTCGATATATCCAAGTTATTATATTGCTTATAATAACTTGGATTTTTATTATATTGCTTACAGTGGCCAATTTACCACTTCAACTTTGTTGATATATCCAAGTTATTATTTTGCTTAAACTGATGTTTGTTGACTTTAAATGTAGAACATTAAAAGTACAAGTTACCGATTACATGAATCCTCTGGGAAATTCAGTTTTTCATTTCTCTGTTACTGATTTTCGTTCAATTAAACCCGGCTAAACTGAACATGTTTTACTGATGTGAATAAGGTGTTAGATATTCTTGAGAATCTGTTAACATGTTACATCAATTTTCATGTTTTAGGATGACCGAAGAATATCCTGTCGTAACGCCTCGCGATCCACTTTTTCAGGTAAATTGTAACAAAGAAACTGAATAAAGTTGCCAGGGAGTAGTGAAAAGATTCAACATAACGGAGTTGCTGTCTTTCCTCGCCCACCTTGTTAAAATATAATTGCTTTCAACGTTTTATGAGATATCTTCTGCACAATATCAAGCAGAATATTGTATTAAAATTTGTCTGTTCGCAGAGGGTGGCAGTGAATAGGAGAAGCCATAGACTCGTTTGAAAGGGGGTGCAGCGTTGCGACGTAAGTATGAAAAAAAAAATGTGAGGATTGAAAACTTACATGAAACATTTTTGATTGACCTTTGATTTTTGTTTAGTGAATAAAAGACACTCTGAATGTCCCATTAAGGTTCTTGCTTTTGGAGTTTGCTTTGTTTTCATTCAACTTAAGTGTCCCTGTCTGAGAAAGTGTTCCAGGAGCCAGAAGTGGTGGTCAACCGATTCGGGTGAAACTTGGCACAAAAGTTGAATGTGATAAGATATTTCAAGATACTTTGGCTCACTTCTCTGACTGTTTTTTCTGGAGTTTCAGGGGGTTCCCATTGGTGGCCTGTGAAGCACCATTTGCATTTGCCTTTTGAAAGTACTATAAAACTCCATTGGTAAATTGTGCTGCCAAACGAATTTGGCCATGGACTCTACTATAGTGGAGCTTTTACTTCACAAATATAGCTGTGTTCTGAAGTGATTAGACAGAGGGGGGCCTTAGGTCAAATTTGAGGTCAAAATCATCACCCAAAATTGCCATTTTTTCAAAAAACCATAACACTCACCTGCATTCTTGCATAACTTTCATACCAAATCCAGTATGTACTTTAGTGACCCATTTATCAAAATCAGTTGAGAAAAATTTGGCTTGTTAAGGTTTCTTAGGTTTTTGGCACAAACCCTCAATATCCCTCTCAGGCCAAGCAAAATGGAGTTTTGAGCATAATTCATGCCATAAACAGACCAAATTCTTGACATAAGGCCTTAATTTTGTATTAGGTGAGTGAAAATGAAACACCAGAGCCAAATCAGTGTCATTATCTAGAAATATCTCCACTCATAGCTTACAAATGCACTAAGAAGGCCTCTGATTAGCACTACAAACACCCAGCGGTTTAGCAAAATAAAGTAACATCATAAATGAAAACCTTGTACCCATCATAGAGCACAAATGATGATGTTCTGACCTAAATATGACAATATTTTTGAAAGATACTTGAGTTTTCTCTGATCTATGTTTGTTAGGCCATATTTCCACATGTACCATACTCCAAGCATGCGAAGTCTCTATATTTTGTCAGGCCGTATTTTACTTGAAAATAAAGTGACTTTAACCCGGTGTTAACCATTAAGCTAAGAATAAAGCGATCGTTAAAAGATGATTCACGTCTGAACTTTGAATAGGCTGAATAGCTCTCACAAATACCTATCACTACGCGAGCATGACCATGCATACAAAAGCTTACGTGCCGCAGTGAGCACCGTCCAGGTGACTTGTGATCCACCAGAGATCTGAAGTACTTTTGAACTGAATTAATGGAACGGAACTATCCAGCGAAGAGGGAATCCATAGTCAGAAGAGCTGGATGACAAAATATTATTGTTGCTGTGTAAATGAAATATTCCACAAGAGACATGAGTATGAACATGCCATTAGAGACAGCGCGTCACCCAAGCCGAAAATAGACTGGACACTAAGAAACAACTCATAGGGAGTTGGTATCTAGTACGATAGGTACGCCTGCTTGTTAAATCCAAATTGCGGGAAATTGAAATTCCTGAATAAAATAAACCGGTTCGATACCCTTGAATGATCCTAACTTTTTCACTGTTGATCTAATAGAGATGAATCCTAATACAATTCGCAGAAGACAAATGCCCTACGTCTTCAAGGCGGAGATGGAGTGGTTTGCGAAAGGCTTTCATCAGCCAAAAACTAGCTAAGCGTGAGATATGTACGGTGGCTCATAAGTGCCATGCAAAAATTGTGATTTTTTTATCGTTTTAGCGACTTTTTTAGCGACTTTTTTAGCGACTTTTTTAGCGACTTTTTTAGCGACTTTATAAGCAGAAAAATGCGTTAAGTTGAAATCTGCGCTATTTTATGCAAATTTAGTGAATTCCAGTGAATACCGTGAACCTGAGAGTTATTTACCTCATTGATTTCGGTTTCGAGTTCCGCCATCTTCTCTTGAGAAGCAACTTGAGCCCGCATTACTTCGGTCGCTAAAAAGTCGCTAAAAAAGTCGCTAAAAAAGTCGCTAAAAAAGTCGCTAAAAAAGTCGCTAAAAAAGTCGCTAAAAAAGTCGCTAAAAAAGTCGCTAAAACGATAAAAAAATCACAATTTTTGCATGGCACTTATGAGCCACCGTA